GATTGGCTATACAACTTAAGACAGATAGAATGTAGAGTTGGCTATACAACTTAAGACAGATAGAATGTAGAGTTGGCTATACAACTTAAGACAGACGGAATGTAGAGTTGGCTATACAACTTAAGACAGACGGAATGTAGAGTTGGCTATACAACTTAAGACAGACGGAATGTAGAGTTGGCTATACAACTTAAGACAGACGGAATGTAGAGTTGGCTATACAACTTAAGACAGACGGAATGTAGAGTTGGCTATACAACTTAAGACAAATGGAATGTAGAGTTGGCTATTCAACTTAAGACATTTCTATCAACCTCTAAACTACCTAACTTATCACGTCAAACAATGCCTTTCTCACACTATCTACCTATCATTAAAAATAAGAACTGACATTTAACATACGTTCAATTCAGTAATGTTTTATTTCTTTATAGATACATACAGGTGGTTATCAATGATTAACAATATACAAGAAACAGAGTTAGAATTCAACGATAAAGTAACAATCTAGAGATAGAGAGAGAGAATTTATATGTGAGTGAGAGACACAAGGTTAATAGAGCATAGATAGACAGGGGTTAATAATACAGAGAACGATACTGGGTTAACAACAGTCTATTTTCACGTTACTTTGCTGACATTTTATTTTTCAACCCGTTTTTAGGTTGCTGTGTTAATCTTGTTGTTCCATTTTCCTTCTTCTACCTTTTCAAGTCATGTTAATCTTGTTTTTATTCTCTTTATTGCTCATTTTAAAATTGTTCTGACAACTTTAATTTTTAGTCAACATTATTTTAAAATTGTTCTGTTAACCCTGTTGTTTAGTTTTCTGTCAACTCTTATTTCATGTTGTTCTGTTAGCCTTGTTTAGTTTTCTGTCAATTCCTATTTCATGTTATTCTGTTAACCCTGTTGTATAGTTTCCGTCAACTCCTATTTCAAGTTATTCTGTTAACTCTGTCGTTTAGTTTTCCGTCAACTTCTATTTCAAATTGTTCTGTTAAACCTGTTGTCTAGTTTTCTGTCAACTCCTATTTCATGTTGTACTGTTAACCCTGTTGTCTGTTTTTCTGTCAACTCCTATATCATGTTGTTCTGTTAACCTTGTTTAGTTTCCGTCAATTCCTATTTCATGTTATTCTGTTAAACCTGTTGTTTAGTTTTCCGTCAACTCCTATTTCAAGTTATTCTGTTAACTCTGTTGTTTAGTTTTCCGTCAACTCCTATTTCATGTTATTCTGTTACCCCCGTTGTTTAGTCTTCCGTCAACTCCTATTTCAAGTTGTTCTGTTAACCCTATTGTATAGTTTCCGTCAACTCCTATTTCAAGTCGTTCTGTTAACTCTGTTGTTTAGTTTTCCGTCAACTCCTATTTCATGTTATTCTGTTAACTCTGTTGTATAGTTTCCGTCAACTCCTATTTCATGCTGTTCTTCCAATCCTCAATTTTTCAACCCTTCCATTTTCACGTTTTGTCTAGACATTTTGTTCACTCCTTCCTTTCTAGATATATTGTGACCTAAGGTTCTTTCCCGTTTTTTTCTTTTTCTCCTTCAGTTTTTAAGCAATAAAAAGTATTTTTACAGCAATTCTTGAAGAACATATGACTTTCCAAACAGCTTATTGACGGGTTATAACAATAGGTACTAAATGTAGTTTATTCTCTGGTGGTTTAAATACCATTGGTTGACAGTATAGGAGTCACTCATTTACAGCTTATTGACGGGTTATAACAATAGGTACTAAATGTAGTTTATTCTCTGGTGGTTTAAATACCATTGGTTGACAGTATAGGAGTCACTCATTTACAGCTTATTGACGGGTTATAACAATAGATACTAAATGTAGTTTATTCTCTGGTGGTTTAAATGCCATTGGTTGACAGTATAGGAGTCACTCATTTACAGCTTATTGACGGGTTATAACAATAGATACTAAAT